GAAAGAGCGACAAGGGAAATGGCCAGGAAACCATCTCCCGGATGGAATGGATCCAAGGGAAGCATCTCTGAAGGGACAAGAACATGGATCCTGAGGGAAATGGATCCAAAAGGCAAGAAACAGCTCCAGAAGGGGAAGGAAACTGGCTCTCGTGGGACAAGAAGCCAGCTCCGAGGGCCTGTGGATCCCAAGGGCCAAGAACCAGGATCCCAAGGGCGAAGAGATGGTCTCTGAGGGGAAATGGAGCCAAAGGCACAAGGAAAAACATCTCCCAAAGGCCAGGAAATCCGCAGGGACAGAACCTGCTCCGAAGAGCCAAGGGCGCCACGGCCCGAGGGAGCAGGAACCAGCTCCGTGAGGAACCACCACGGCTCCAACGGGATGAGCACCAGCAAGCGGGTGTTTGTCGAACATGACGGGCAGGAACTCATCCACCGGGAGCATCTTGGCCAGCGGCTCTGCTGCCAACAGCTTCCGGGCTCCGCGCAGGGACAGGACGTAGCCCAGTGTCCAGTAGGAATAATCCGCTTCCACCAGATTCCTGACGCGCGGCACCGACTTCTCCGGCCGCTCCACCTGCCTCCGCTTCCTGCCAATGTAACTGGGAACCACCAGAGAGCGCGTGGGCTTGGGAAAGGAGCTTGGGAAGCTCAGGGGCTGCCCCCGTCGGGCCGGGAATGCTCCGGGATCCCGGGATCCTCACATCAGGTCCCAGGGCAGCCCCTCGGCCTCCAGCTCCTGCATCAGGGTCATGAGGCGGCGCTTGAAGAAGATCTCGAAGCGAAGATCATCCTCGAACACCACGGACTTCCCGAGGCCCCGCGCCACGATCTGCGGATGCGGCCGGGAATGGGGCTCCGGGGGGGAAAGGGAAGCTCCCGGTGCTTCCCGGTGCCTCCCGGTGCTTCCCGAGGGATGGGAGAGGTGCTGGGACCTTGCCAGGATCAATGGTAGCCCCCGACCCCCACTCCTGATGCTCAAGAGCCTTCCCCTTGGGATTAGGGATCCATCCCCATCCTTCCCAGTGGGATTTAGGACTTGTTTCTGTCTTAACATCCACACATCCCCTTTATTACCATCAGAATTAGGGACTCATCCCCTTCCTTCCCACCGGGATTAGGGACTCGTACCCATCCTGTCCCTTGTGTGAGGGATTAGTCCCCGTCCTTCCCATCAGGATTAGTTCCTTGTCCCTGCCCTTCCCAGTAGGATTAAGGACTCATCCTCACCCTCAACATCCCCATTAGAACCTCATCCCCTCCCTTCCCATCAGGATCAGGGACTCGTTCCCATCAGGGTTAGAGGTTTGTCCCTTCCCTCCAGGACTCGTTCCCTTTGCTCCTGCCGGGACCAAGGGCTCCCGTCCCCCATTCCCAGCGGGATCAGGGTCTCACCTCCTGCCACACCCGGTAGTGGCTCAGGAAACATCCCAGCTCCCCCTTGGTGAGCGGGCGCCCGTGGTAGGGATCCCTGTATCCCGGCAGCATCCGGATGCCCAATGCCTCCACCTCGCTGCTGTTCATGGCCCTGCAACGCCTCCGCCTGCATCCCGGCCCCATTCCCGAGGGAAGAGGCCGCTCCTCCCCCCCTGCCCGGGACTCACTTCCCATCCACGGCCTCCACCAGCTTGCAGGAGATCTCCTGCTCGTGCAGCGTCCGCAGCATCCGCGCCCGGCGCTCGCTCCGGCGCCGCAGGTTGATGAGGAAAACCTGCGGGAAAACGGGAATGAGCCGGGAATGGGCAGAGGGGAAGGGACCAGGGAAGAGCCGGGAGACGGGAAGGGACCAGGGAAGAGCCGGGAGAGGAGGAAAAGAAGCCAGGATGGGGGAGAGAGCAGCAAAACCACCCCAAATGCAGAAAAGAGGGAAAAAAAAAGTCAATCAAGAAGCTGGAAAAAAACACCCAAAAATTCAAGAAAAAGAAACAAAAAAATCCACAAAATTTAAGAAAAGTGGGAAAAAAACCTCCAAAAATTCAAAGAAGGAAAAAAAAACCCCCAAACCTAAAATTCAAGAAATGGGGGAAAAACCCCAAAAATTCAAGAAAAAGGGAAAAAATATTGAGGGGAACAAAAAAACCCAAACCAACAAAATTCAAGAAAAAGGGAGAAAAAACCTCCCAAAATTCACAAAAAGGAAAAAAAAAACCAACAAAAAATCAAGAAAACGCAAAAATCAACCCCCAAAAAATTTCAAAAGAAAGAAAAATCTCAGAATTCATAAAAGGGAAAAAAACCCCAAACCCAAAATTTAAGAAAAGGGGGAAAAAAACCCCAGAATTGAAGAAAATTGGAAAAAAAACCCCAAAATTGAAGAAAAGGGGAAAGAAGAACCCAATAATTCAAGAAAAAGGGAAAAAAAACCCCAAAATTCAAGACAAGGGGAACCCCCTCCCCCCAAATCCATGGGATCCCCCAAAACCAGAAAAGCTGGATGGGAACAACCCCCCCCCCAATCCCGAATCCCGTAGGGGAGAGATCCCTCAAATCCCAGAGGGGCTGGAGCCAAGCTCCAGGGGAAGGAAACAAGCCCCAAAAGGGGGGGGGGCTGAAAACACCCCAAAACCTCCAGGAGAGGGGGGGGACCCCCCCAAACCCTCACCTCGTCGAAGCCCATCTTGTCGGGGACCTTGGGGGGGACCCACACGTGAGGGGACGGCTCCGCCGGCGGGTTCTTCACTGGGAGGGTGGAGGAAGCACCGTGATGCTCCATTGGGAGCTGCTCCATCGGGAGCTGCTCCACAGGGATCGGGGCGCGGGGCTCACCCATGATCTCCAGCAGGACATGCAGGAAGCTCTCGGCCTCATCCTGCAGGGTGCTGTGGGAGCGCAGCGGCACCGGCAGGAAGCCGTAAACTTCCCGGTTGCAGACGAACATCTGGACTTCTGGAAGCAAAGAGCAAGGGGAGGGATGGGGGGAGCCCGTGGGGGAGCCCCACAGGATGCTCTGATCCCAAATCATCCCTGACTATGGAAGCAGCATCGGGAATGGGCTCCTTCAGACCGCGCCGTGATCCCGGCCGGGCTGTGCCATTCCAGCACGTGGGATGGGAGCTCAACGCTCCTCTTCGGAGGAAGTGCCACAGTTTTGGGAGTTGGTGGCAAAACTTAAAGGGTGGCTACAAAGACGGAGACTCCTTTTCCCAAGGGAAAGCCAAGGGGTGATGGGCACAAGTTATTCCTGGGGAGATTCCAGTTGGACACAAGCCAGTGGCAGAGCCAGGACTAGAGTCCAGATCTCAGCTGAAAAACTTC